GGAGCTCACTGTGGGCTCCCGCCCTTGGCCCACACACACACCTGACAACAATCACCTGTCATCACGGGAGCACTATTTGAGGCTGGAACACAGATCCTCTCGTCGCTGGATGATTGTACTACTAACATCTCTCCTCCTGCCTCCCCTTTCCCTCATCCACCTGCTGTCCTCCACCACTTGCTAATGTTACTGAATCTGTGGAAGCTCTGTGATAGCCACCCCCAAACAACTGAGTTATTTTTACACACCGGCCAGCATCTGACCAATCCACCACCTTTCATTGTTTATACCGTTAACAGAAAAAAAAAAAAAATCATCGGCCTATAAAAACGAAAAATCACCATTGCCCGGTGGGCCGATGGCCAGTCCAGCTATGAGCAGAGGGAGAGAGAGAGGCAGTCGCTCCATATATCCGTTGTTAAGCTTAACGCTGGAATGCTTTATAAACATTCAGAGATGAAGTTACACACTTGCTTTACTTCTCTCTGGGATCACTTACTCGGAGATGAAATGCTGGATTGGTAGCGAGGCTACAAATACACACGGTCCATCTCTAATACATACATACATATATATATATATATATTTTACCACATAAACGTATTATTATTATTATTATTAGCTTTATATAAGCTTGTCCAGCTTGTCTTCCTCCCGCTCATCTCAAAAGACAAATTTTAATTTAGGAAAAGAGCTTTATTTATGCTTTGCTGCATCTTTCGTAAGTGCGATCAACGCATGAACACAGAGAACTAAAGTTACATCCAGGTAACATATACTTTTCATCTACTTTTAAAACGTTGTGAGCCCAGGTTGGGTTTAAACACTACTGTTAGGATTATGAATATTACTGAGCTACGAAACACTTACAACCCCCCCCCCAAAAAAAAACAACAACAAAAAACTAGCAATCTCCTAGCAACCATTAAATCTCTGCAAAAAGTTCAGAGTGAAAACTGGAAAAATATAAAATATAAAAAATATAAAAATATAATAACCTAGGCTTTGCTGTGATATCAACTTGAAAGAGCCTAAGTAGAGCTTATCAGAACCAGTGTACCCAGAGATCTATCATAAATAAGTCAGCCTGCGCATACTCCCATAATTGGATGTTCACTCCTGAGAACTTGTGAACATGTAGTCATTTAAACTTGATTTCCTTTTGAACAAAGAGTAAGTATCTTGTATCCTCGTCAGCCTTTAGAGTTCTCTCTTTCATCCTGGATCATAGTTTCAATTTCGTTTCCAAGGTTGGAGAAAAATGGACGCTCATCAAAGTCATGTGCCCAGCACTGCCTCATCATAAGGTACACCTGGCATTACAATGAAAGTAATATGAGCAAGGATAAACATTGTGTAATAAAAGGATAGAAGGGAAATTACTTTATTGCTGATGTAAGACAGATAAGAAAGTCGTTTCTCCAAAGGTCTGATTTACTTACAATAGCAAAGATCAAAAAGTATTCCGAAAAAACTACAGTTTCGACCGCACAGAGCAAACGTACCTTGGGCGGGCAGTTTAAAGGTGGTGGTAACCTCCAGTTACCCTTCAGTAGATTTGCCAGATGCACTGAAATGGATGTACCCAGCACGTTGTGCCCAATCTCCTGCATATAAAGCTGAAACAAAACAGTAAGCCATGGGAATCCATATTTAAGCTGAAGCATTTTCCAGACACATTTGTAACAATTGTACATTTTCTTACTCTTTTCGGATTGAAACTTATATCACAGTAAGAGAAGATTTCATGAAGAACAACCCCGAAACTCCAGACATCTGATTTTTGGGAGAATCTGGACTCAGTGATGGACTCTGGGGCATACCTGCAGTAAATGCATGACCATTAGAGCACAGAATAATCC